AGAGCGCGGTCAAGCAGCGGCGACAGGGTCCCGGGCCGCTTAACTCCGAGGGTCGGCTCGATGCCCTCCCGTTACCGGGTCAACGGGCATCCGTGCCCGGCTTTGAACGCTTCTTATGGCCCCGACCTGGGGCTGCCACCGCCGGAGCGTTTCCTCGCCCCTGTGCTCGGCTTCCTGAGCCCACATCAGGTTTCATTCCCAGTTGCCGAGGTTTTGCGTGGATTCGGGGGGTTCTGCTTCACCTTCATTGCACAAGGGGCAAATTAAAACGTGGATGAGGTGTGTTAATGAGCTTAAGCTGAGTGCTGAGCGTGAGGAGCGTGTTCACCCGCTGCCCTGTACCCCCAAAACCAGCTCCATCAGGCAGATGGGGAGCAAAGACTCCTCTCTAACTGGAATCCCTGTGCCCTGCCTGTAAATTGCTGTGGTATTTCCTCTTGGAAGGGCGCTGGGAGGAGGTAACAAGGAAATGGTGGTGATAAGGCTTGAAATCAGGGTCTCAAATACACAGAATTTCTCCAGCCCCCCCAAAAGGGTGTTTTGGAGCTGTTCAGAAGCGCCTGCGCTGCTCGAGCTGCAGGACAGGGTGTTGGTCAGGACACGAGGTGCTCGGTGTGTGTGTCCTGGGGTAGGAACGAGTCTTGGTTCTGCTTGTTTGAGGAACATAATAAAGGCAACAGTTCTGGAGCCGGGAATCACTCAGGTGTTGGTTGCTTCATCCTTTCACAGGAGTGAAGGGGCAGGCAAGGGGTGAGGAGACTTGTTGCTTCTCTTGAGCGTGGAGATGGTTTCGGTACAAAACCACACTTGTGACAAGCTGGGGAAGAGGAGGATGGCTGCAAAAGAAGTGGATTTTATGAATTGGTGCTCTTTAATTGCCTAAGGGAGAAGTCTCTTCTGCTTGAGGCTCGGCTGGGGGGTTAGGGAAAGGCAAACGGGAGCAATCCTTTGTGGGGCCTCAATAAGCGTGTAACATGGAGCAAGCGACGGTGCAGCGTCTGTGCTGGGGCTGGAGGGGAGCTCCTGCCCCTCCGCAGGGTCTGTATCCCACAGGGCACATCCCAAAGCGTTCCATGCAGGCGGCACCGGTCCCATTCCTGGTTCTATCCCGGCCAAACCTGCGCTTTGGTTTCACTGCGCTGGGAGTAGGTTCGTAGCAAGTTACACCCTCGGGATGTGAAACTGTCGCTGCTGGACTTGGGACCTCAATTGGACAAGTGAGAAACTGGTGGAGGGATTACACCGTGGCTGCGGCCACACGGCTCCGCTCCCCCAGTCATTATCCCTCTTTATTTGTCCGGGTTAATGGGATCTCTCCTGGAATGTGTGTGTGTCTCCCCGGCCAGCTCAGCATTGCTCTTCATTCGTAGTCAGGGCTGTTAATCCTCAGCAGTGCCCTAATTCTGCTGAAAGGGAGGGTGCAGCCATTGAGCTTGGGCAGCCCAACCAGCTTTCTGGGGAGAAACCAGCCTTTTATCAGCAGCCAGCTCTGCTGGGCGCGAGCGTCTGATGCTTCCAGCGCCGGGAGGTTGCCACAGTGAGCAGCTTCCAGGGAATGGGATGCTCTTTGCTAAGGAATGGGCCGAGCAATTCCCATGCGGTGCCATCGGGGACGCTGAGCTGACCCTTCCCAGGGGATTTATGTGCTTGGTTCATGGCAAAGCTGTGAAAGAGCCTTAGGAGGAGCGAGGGGCGAGCTGCCTGCCGTGGGCAAGCGGGCTCCTTGGTAACTTGGCTCGGGGCTCCCTTTCTTAGTGCTTTCTGTTCGGTGAAAGGCTTCGTGTTTGGAGGGAGGAGACGTCTGGCTCGGTCCGTGTGGGATGGATGAGGAGCTGAGGGCCCTCTCCCTGGTTCCATGCGAGCGTTGCCTGCATCCCACTTACCTACAGGACTCTTCTCCCAGCCTTAAGCTGGACTAAGATGTGACAACCAGCAACACGCAGAGCCCCAGCGCTGTCCCTGCTGGCTGGCAGTGAAGGAACCCCCTTATTTTCCCAAAGCAGATGTGCCTTGTGTCCGGGGCTCCTGTATCCATGTGCTGGCAGCAGATGCTGCTTCAAGCAAGGTCACATTTGTCCCTCGGATCTCCCTGGGCGGGAGCTGAGGTTGTGGCTCTGCCTGTGCCAGATCTTCACGTCGCCTGCCCAGAGCCAGGCCTGGGCTGTGGTTCTTGCCTGCTCCCTGTAAGCCACAGGAAGCCTCTCGCTGTGCTTACGCAGCAGCTGGTTTTCGGGCTAGTGTGATGTGTTATGAGCCATCGTGGTGCCACTCATGGTGCCAGTGCTTCGCGCTGCTCCTGCATCCAGGCATCCCACAGCACTGGCTTCCCATTGCCCGTGCCATGGGAGTGCGTGGGGCTACGCTTTGGAGTAAGCCTGAAGTATCCACGTTGCTCAGAGAGCTGTAATTCCCTATGTGGGGTCAGGACGTTGTCAGCAGCTGTAACAGAGTGTTCCAGCTCAGGCAGGTTCTCCCTGGCACCTTATTGAGGCAAATCCTATCAAGGTGTTGAGCCACGGGATGGGAGAGATGGGGGAATTTGCCAAAGGAAATGTCAAGGATGAAATATCTTCCTAGTCCAGAACAAAAGGTTTAGCAAAGGGTGAGGATTTGGGAGTCTCTTTCCGTGTCTTTGCTGGCTTAAACCTTTCAAAAGAAGCTCTTGTAGCTGCCCCAGTGACAAGAAGAGCCTCAGCCTCGGTGTTATCACCCTGCAGTGTTTGGGGCAGCAGAAGGGATGAGTGTTGGAGATTCCAAACTGCCAAGGAAAGCACAAAGGATCACCCCCATCCTCACATTCCCCCTATATTCCCTGAAGTGCCCTTTAATTTCACAGAGACTTACAAACATCCATCACCACCAACATGCCAAACGCATTGAAACTCCCCCCTGCAGAAGTGTGTGTTTGGGGGGATGCAGGGAGCCCCTTGGGCATCGGGGCCTTGTGCTTTGCTCTCAGCCCTTGCTGCTGCTCTCACTCCTCTGTCCCTGTGCTTCCTCCTCGCAGATCCAGAGGCAGCATGGCTGCGAATGGTGCCGTTAGCCCCCAGGGATAACTGCAGGGCGGCGCCCCCC